TTACTGTGGCAGAGGGTTTTCAGCATGCTAGAGACAGGAGAGACAAGGTGAGGTGAGCCACAAGCTGCATGAGACATACATAGGGTCTGTCTGCATTTGGAGCTGGGGGGGCGATTCTCAGTGTGAGGAGACAAACCCCGCACTAGTTCTGATCGAGCTAGTGTGCTAAAACAAGAGGGTATTTTAAAAGAGAGCGTGTGAAGCTCGAGCAGCAGGACGGACTCACCACCCCGAGTACATCCGTATGAACCCAGCCGAGACCACAGGCACTCAGAGTGGCTAACACCCCTCCTGCCTGTCACGCTGCCGCAGCTACATTCTGTTTTTAGGGCACTAGCTCAATCAGAGTTAGCACAGGGAACTGCTCTCCCAGCTCAAAGCGCAGGCAAACCCCCTCACCAGGCAATACTGTGCTCAGGACCATGGCCCAGGCAGCCTATTGGATTATAGGAACCTCAAAACAAACCCTTTCTAATCTACCAACCACATGGGAACCTGTCAAAGTTGCAACAATTATAAGCTAAACACAGACCACCCCTATGCTGAATGGAAGGTGGAAACAAAAATACAGCAGTTTGCCAATTCTGCCACATGGCAAATATCCCTTCCAGCTTCCAGACCGGCGATCAGCCGAACCCCCCCACATCACCAGCAATCCACCCGCTATATTAAGGGTGGGGCTGCAACAGGGAGTAGGGTGACCAGACAGCAAGTGTGAAAAATCGGGACGGGGGTGGGGGGGCAATAGGAACCTATATAAGAAAAAGACCCCAAAATCGGGACTGTCCCTATAAAATTGGGACATCTGGTCACCCTAACAGGGAGCTCACAATATTTACCCCACATAGGTCACTCAAAGCACAGGGAGTTTAGACACTGGTTTTCTAGAAACAAAGGACAGGTCTGTGCTCTATGCACCATACACGTGGCAGGACTTAGCTAATGTGAATTCTTTACCACTCCTGGAGCTGGATACTGAATTTCTTTAATGCCTTGTGGTGCACTTTACTGCAGTGTAAATGCAATCTGTCACTGAAAAATGCCATAATCAGTGACAGGCTGTACGTACCAATACAAGGGCCATGCAGTCAATGGGGCCAACTTTCCAATGTGTCAGGGAGTGCCTGACCCCCAGCTCTGCCCCAGGCCCTGCCACCACTCCACACCTTCCTCCAAGGTCCTGCCCCCATCCTTCCCCCTGCTCCACCCCTGCCCCGCCTCTTCCCACCCTGTTCCACCCTCTCCCTGCAGCTCACTGTGCCCTCACTCCTCCTCCTCCCTCCCAAAGCCTCCTGCATGCCGCGAAACAGCTGATGGTGGTGGGCGGGAGGCACGGGGAGGGGAGGGAGGGGGAGGCGCTGATCAGCGGGGCCTGCTGGCGGGCAGCAAACAGTGGGGGGCAGGGCGGAGCTGATAGGGGGGCTGCTGGTGGGCATTAGCACCATTTTTTCCCCATGGGTGCTCCAGCCCTAGAGCACCCATGGAGTCAGCACCTATGCATGCAGTTATACACCTCTACCCCGATATAATGCGACGCGGTATAACACGAATTCGAATATAACGCGGTAAAGCAGTGCTCCGGGGTGGGGGGTGGGGCGGGGCTGCGCACTCCGGTGGATCAAAGCAAGTTCGATATAACGCGGTTTCATCTATAACGCGGTAAGATTTTTTGGCTCCTGAGGACAGCGTTATATCAGGGTAGACGTGTATTTTGTATGACCCTCTTCAAATTCCTTAAGACCTATCTCTGCTGTGATGCCGACAAAAAAATCAAACAAGTGACGAGGCCTAGGTTGAGTGATAGTTTGGGGTAGCTGATTTAACTTTACCAAAGGAGGAAATACATTTCCAATTACTTCTTTATTTAGATTTTATAACAAAGATTCTTACCCAAGGCTCCAGGTATCCTAACAGAATTATACAATTAAATTCACCATCAAACTGTGCACAGAGCTAATCTCTGTAATGTCTGATCCTATAACTGTTCTCCTCAGCCTCTCTCCCATTGTGTTCTGTACTCAGTGAGAGCGTCCCCGGCAGGAGAAGATTATGATTCAGTCTCTTAGGGCAGGTCTATGCTTAAAACACTGCAGTGGTGCAGCTGCCGCATAGCCACTGTAGCGCTTCAGTGCAGATGCTACCTACGCTGACGGGAGAGCTTCTCCCATCGGTGTACGTGTTCCACTTCCCCGAGAGGCAGTAGCTATGTAAGTGGCAGAAAGCCCTGCCAGCAACACAGCACTGGCTGTACCGGGGGCTAGGTTGGTGTAACTGCATCACTCGGGGTGTGGATTTTTCACACCCCTGAGCGACATAGTTATACCGACCCAATTTCCTAGTGTAGATCTGGCCTTAGTAAGCATATAGGTTACTGCTCCAGACTGGAACCTTTGTGTGCTACCACAATACAAATAAATCATATATTTCATAAACCTGTTTGAAGGATGCAAATGAACGATTGCAGTTACGATATATACTATAGTTGGGCAATGAAATGGTGAGGGCCAGTAAATCTGGTGAGTCTTGAGAGGAATGACTGGGCAGAAAGGATCTGGCAGGACTTCATTGTTCTATTAGGAGAGGTGTGGGGGTCTTACAGTCCAAAGAGGAATGATGGGATTTGAAAATAGTTGGGGAGCCAATTCAGTGCAGAGGGTTGTGGAGCCTGTGCCACTCGATGGGTGAAGTGTGGATAGCGCCAGGCCTACTAGTGTCTGAGCAGACAAGAATAAAATCTAGTATCTGAGAAATACAGGAAAAGGCGACTGGAGAAAAGGAGGAAATGTGGGAAGCCTGGTCCGGGGGAATGATGAAGGCACAAAGCGGTATCTTCTCCTGGATTCTGAAATGGACAGGATGCCAGGGACATTTCCAAGGCTAGGGACGAGGTGTTCACATTTCCTGAGTGCAGAGAGAAGCTATGACTCAGTATTTGTAGATCAGTCAAAGTTTGGGAAGTTGTGACTTAGAACAGACAGAGGGAACCCGTGGTAAGGATGAGGGGAGATAGGGGGTGAGCAGTGAATATGCATCAGTATTTCTAAAATAACGAGGAAACAAGAAATCATGAATTAAATTTTAACATAAAAGATGGACACTTTTTTCTTAAAGGATTCCCTTGAAAATGACTGGGTGTATTTGAAATGTAACTATACAAGTTATTTTACAAAACAGATATCTTTGGAGTGTAACTTCTATAGGTACATGAGATTACTGATACACCTCTACCTTGATATAACGCTGTCCTAGGGAGCCAAAAAAACTCTTACCGCATTATAGGTGAAACCGCATTATATTGAACTTGCTTTGATCCACCGGAGTGCGCAGCCTCGCCCCCCCGGAGCACAGCTTTACTGCGTTATATCCAAATTCGTGTTATATCAGGTCACGTTATATTGAGGTAGCGGTGTATATGTGAGAAAATTTTAGATGATTGTTGTCAGCCTCTATTTTTATTCTACTAACATTACAGTTGCTAAATAAATATTAATATCCCAACTATGCTATTACATAGGGCATATAGAACACGTTAATATTGTACTGTAATTGGCCAAACCTTACACTCAGTGGGGTGGCATTTCTCTGTCTGTTTGTAACACAATGACTTGGTAAGAGACACAGCTAAGAGGGCCAGTCTCAGGTTGGACTGCCAAACTACAGGGCAAGTACCCCAGACTCGTGGTATATTCTATCATAGGGCTACCAGATGTCCCAATTTTATAGGGACAGTCCCAATATTCGGGGATTTGTCTTCTATAGGCACCAATTATCCCCCACTTTCTGTCCTGATGTTTCACCCTTGCCATCTGGTCACCCTATTCTATCATAAGATTTCACCAGCCAGTAACAAATATGTGCTTCCAAAATACTATACTAGTTATCATGAAGCCACAGATATTCCCTTTAGACTCTCCAGTCCCTGTTTACCACCTAGGCAAAGACCAAAAATCACATACATTCTTCCAATCCCAATGTCAAATGTCTGTAAAGACGAATGGGGCCAATACTAATGTGTATATTATGTGTTGCGGGTAAGATATTTAGTAAAGCGTGTGGCTTTTGCACTAACGCTATTTACTGTGTCGTGACAGGCCATTGAGGTTTATAAATGTGTCCTGACCCCAGAAAGGTTATGAACCACTGGCCTGGTCAACCCAAAGCCTGAGGGGACTGATGCAAAGACTCGCCATATAGCATGGTCAAATATGCACCACTCTAAGTGGGATAGAACCATGTTGCTAAATAATTGACAGTCGAAATTTGTTAGTATTGTCTTCACGTTTGCAGTATTTTGCTCTGTTTCTTCATGGGGTGCCTGAAGAGTGACATGGCCCTTAACTGACAGATTTAAAACTATTCCTAGTATTATGTGAGGACTGAGGAGGAAGACAAATGCCCATTCAAGGATGCTGCACCGGTTCCACAGGGCAGCAGGTGGCCATGATTATTTCTTGCACTATATGCTGAAGATAATTCACTAAACCCTGACTCTTCCAGATCACCCACAGCATCCCCGCTGCCATTGGGTCGCTGCAGGGCTTGGAGCAGCTGGGATCCTCATCCTGGTGGGAGCTGGGATAGCCATAAGTGTTTGGGGTAAGCAGTTCAAAATTAATTTGTGCAAAATGCGGCACCCTGAAATTTCCCCTTCCCGCACATTTCTGATTCCAATGCTTTTGTGAATTATATCCTGGACTCTTCATTATCATCACAAAGGGAACAATATCACATGAAGAAGATAGTGTTAGAACTTGATACATGAGCCCTATGTGATCCAGCTCTCACAACGTCACTGTTCAGTGTGTACAGGGAAAAGTGGAAGACACCTTATAATGTGTAATAAATGAGATTTTCTCTCTTTCTCTGTCATGCTCTCTCTCCCTCTCTCTCTGTCCCGGTTCTGAATTTGATAGCTACAGTATGTAACGGTTTATTGCACACACCCTCCTTCTCAGTTTGCTAATCCCTAAGTAGTAGTTGCCATTCATGCTCTTCTGAAGTTTCTCAGGTCAAAGGATCTCTGAATACACTGGAGAGAATCATCCATCAATTCAACTGCTGCGCTGGCCTAAAAGATTTCCATTTCCACTTGAAACAATTTGTGTGTGAATCATCTCACAACAACTCATCAGGTAACCTCAGCCCCATCTCTCTCAGCAGCTTCCTGTATTGTAGTGCCATCTAGTGGTCAGCTAGGGTAACCCAGTGCAGGACACAAACCACTTCAATAACTACTTATAGGGCAACTGGTAGCGACTCCTATGTTTAGGGTCCCTAACGCTTCCACTGTAAAAGGGTCTTGTGGTATCTTTGAGGAGCTCTCACACTTCCCTTGTTCGAAGCAGGCCTCTGAAATAGGGGGGCGAGGGGAGCCCTCAGGCTGGAGAAACGTTTTCTTTGGCCCATGAAATTTCGTCCAGGTTTTGCTGAGATGGGAACATTGGAAGAGCCGCCATTTTCCTCCTTGCGTGTGAGCCTCAGGAAAACTCTGTAGCGTGACAAAATAACAGTCAAAAGTGCTGGGCTCACCTGCCACAGCAGCACACCCAGCACTGGGAGCTACCAGAGCAGATGGAGATGGATTGGGGTGGGCGGGGGGGAGAGCTGGGCCAGGCTCCCCCTCACCCAGCACATGGCCACAGAATCTCCTCCTGGGGGGACAGAGAGCTGGCTGGGCTCCCTTTGACTACCCTGGCCTATTCCCTGCCCCCATCCCTCAGGATAACAGACATTTCCTGTAACCAGCAAGCAGAGTTATTCCTGTTGCTGGAGCGATAGCACTGTGGTGTGGTACTGAAGATCCAGGGTCCAAAATGCTGCTGCTCATTCAGGACGGTGGAGTTGTTCCAGTTACAGAATTGTTTTATATGTTTTTAAAAAACTAGGCAATTAAACACAATACTGGATTGAGAGAATACAAAGATTACAAAACCAAGCTCCTGAAAGTTAGGAAATGCCAAATTATCCGCACAACCTTAATTCAGCCCCCAGTTGTGTGTGCCTTATGATATGGTCTTTATTGCATGATTATCTACTATTTTTATCTCAGGGCTGCTGCCTCATTCAGTGCGCAGGCCTATTTGGGTCCATGTCCATGATGGCTCCCCAAGCATTCAGTGTACTGGATGATCTCACAATCAGGCTGAATTACAGTTGCACGGGCAAGCCATGAATGTGGCATTTCCAATGTTGATTTGCAACCTAAATAAAGTTCTTTTAATGTTTATATGTAGTATTATCTACCCCCAACTGGAATGCAGCCATCTCTAGGGGGAAATGCAGCCATCTCTAGGGGGCTGTTAACCAGTGCACAGGAACACTACACTAAAGGGGAGGAAGTGAAGGAGGATTCCAGTTGAGCCTGACCTGCATTAGCCCGTGCTATTTCAGGACTGAGGTACTCACAGCTTCACCAATACCCCTCCCTCCTGGCCTGCAGCAGCTGCGGCGAGTTGAATGTTGGACCTGTCCTCAAACAAAGCCAAGACAATAGCTCTACTGGAAATGTTGAGGCTGGAGGCCTGTGCATGAGTGTGATGCAGTTCAGAACCTTCAGCTCCATTAAGCATTTCCATTTCCCCTCCAGAGGGATCAGGGTGTAAGCTCTGCCCCCCAAACTGGCTGCTGCACAGGGACAAGTGCTACTGGGTGTCAAAAGAAAAAAATCCCTGGAACAAGAGCCGCGATGACTGTTCAAGGAGGAGCTCTCGGCTGCCGGTGCTCCGGGACCAGGATGAGATGGTAAATAAAACTAGTCCTGGGGATATGAGCATCACTAGTAATAATTAATACACACAACCCCTGTGTTGTGTGTCTGTCAAGGTTGCTCTATATCAGGGGTGGCCAAACGTACTGACCCTGCGAGCCCCATACAACCATCTTTGGAAGTTCTAGAGCCAGGTGCTCCTGCCGGGACTCAAGCGTCATCCCTGCAAGGAGGGGGGGTCTCAGGCTTCAGCCCCATGGGAGGCACCTGCCCGGGCTCAAGGCTTCAGCCCTGCTCCTGCTGAAGCCCCAAGCCCCAGGAGGCGCGTCCTGCAGGGCTAAAGCCCTGAGACCCCCCCCCACACACTGGGCAGGAAGCCAGAGTTGATGTGTGAGGGGGCATGTGCCCCCCGATTTTTCCCAGGGTTTGCTGGTCCCGCTCGGTCACATGGTGCCACTGGGCCCAACTCCCTGCACTGGGAGCTGCGGCTGTGGGGAGAGGCAGCGACAAACAGCTGGGAGCTCCTCACTGCAGTTCCCAGCTGTCTGGCATTGCCTCTCCATGCAGAGCTAACACCTGGGAGATGCAGGGTGGGGGCGCTGAGGATAAGAGGGGGGACAGCCTGGGGAGGGGGGCTTGACTCCAACTGTTGGGAAAGGGAACCCCCCACTCTCAGCAAGCACCAGTTGCTTGTAGTAGAAGCCCCTCCTTGCCCCACCGCCCCACTGCAGGGCAGAAGCCCTGAGCTCCCCCCAAGTCTGGTAGGCAGAGAATGGGGGTGGGAGGGGGCTCTGGGAGCTGCACTTTCACTGTAAAGAGATGCCTGTCATTCACAAGCCACGGTTTGGCCACCCCTGCTCTATACATACCCACACAAGCTAAAAAGCAAGGAAATGAAAAGTTCAGGCCAGCAACAGCACATAACCTGTGCCCTGCCCCCCAGCGGTGACACCTTACCGATAGCATGACCCCCACACACCACAAAGACTGTACCAAGGCCTTAATTCTGCCCCAGTCAGGACAGAAACTAAACAACTGGCCAACAGTCACAGAGGGAGTCTGTGGTCCAGCAGGGAATTGAACTCAGTTGCCAAAGTGTCTAGCTAGCACTTTAACCAATTTAACCCTCCTTCTCCGTCACTTCATTCTTCCATGTCATTTACAGACTTTCATTCAAAATACTACCAAAGACACAAACCAGATCTGGCTTGGACTCACTGTTACATCCCCCCTGAGGAAATGGACTTGGGTGGACGGCTCCCTGTTCAATCTAACGCTGTGAGTGTTTTTATCCTCTGGGTCCATGTAAGATGTGCAGCAGGGGGCACAGGGCTGTTACTTTCCAGCATTGGTGAGAGCAGAGGCTGCGTATGGGTGCAAGGGATGTTAAGTGCTAGGCACAGTCCTCTGCACAGAGAGGAGATGAATCGAGTCCTGAGCCTTATTCGATGGCTTCTGCAGCAGTCAGGCTAATCCTGAGGGCTGGGTTTTGTAATATGGACAAGTGTTTTTAGAAATTGATCAAGGCCAACCAGCTGCTATGAAAGGGTCATGTACTAGGAAGTGTTTTATCAATTAGGGGTCTGTAGGAACAGTGCAGCAGTTAAGGAAGAAATTTGAAAGGTGTGTCCAAATGAGGAAAAGCTGCTAAAAATATTGTTCAAAAATTCTAAACAGGGATTTTTTTATTTTGTTTCCTAGGTTCAAGTTAGTGGATCCTGCTGAAGGGCAATGCGGGGTGATAAAAGCAGGAGGGATTCAGTGTGAAACCTGCACTACAGTCGCTAAATGGATTTGTGAAAAAGATGCTCTCCTCATTAGCCAGTGACATTAATCGCCTGCATTTTCTAAGTATGAACTATAAATGTTCTTTAGTTTCAGTCACATGAATGATGAATATTGAAGGTGAGCTTCAAAGACAAAAATTAGGCTCATACCCCACCCGACGCACCTTTTATAACGTGGATAAAGACGGCATGAAAGGCTTTTCTTGTATTTGAAATTCAGGTCCTGTTTGGGCTGGAAGATAAAGGTGAAGGGAGAACTAGTGAAATGACATCACAAATAGAGCTGGGAGACATTTTTCCACTCAATAGTTTATTTGCTGCAAAATGCAGTTTTGGAAGGAACAAGACTAGTCACAAACTGGTGTTGAATTCACTGAATAGTTTCAGCCAAAATAAAATAAAATAATAATAATACTAAAAAAATCCAGGCTAGGTTCACAAGAGGACTGGAGGAGACAGCTATTAACCCCACCCAGTAGCCAAGCGGCTAGTGCACCGGGTTCATATCCCTGTTCTGGAACAGTGTTAATAGATTAACCACGTACATCTAGAGGTGGCTGTGCTATTTTAAGATCGTTTTCTGTCAGCAACAGAATCCATTCCCAGGAAAGAGCTCAACATACCTTATAAACCAGGGGTAGGCAACCTGTGGCACGTGAGCTGATTTTCAGTGGCACTCACACTGCCCGGGTCCTGGCCACCTGTCCGGAGGTCTCTGCATTTTAATTTAATTTTAAATGAAGCTTCTTAAACATTTTAAAAATCTTATTTACATGACATACAACAATAGTTTAGTTATATATTATAGACTTATAGACACCTTCTAAAAATGTTAAAACGTATGACTGGCACGCGACACCTTAAATCAGAGTGAATAAATGAAGACTCAGCACAGCCCTTCTGAAAGGTTGCCAACCCCTGTTATAAACAGATATGAGTAAGGCAAATATATTGCAGAGCAAGGTTACACAGTTCACACACCTTTAAGAACCTAAAGAGCTGCAGAGAAGACACATCACTCAAGCAGCAACAATCTGCCCACTTAAATTTGGCATAATTAGCATTTGTTTAATTAGCAGCCTGGACATTCCAGCACTGCACATTGTTGCACTGCAATTTCTTTATAAAAGACGTGTAAGAAAATATTTTACATTAAAAAGTGCCTTTAAGAAATCTATCCCTGAAGTGCAGCCTGCGGATGTGAGAATTGGCAGTCAGTGAACAGGGGCAGCACAAAAGTCTGGGCAGGGAGGGGAAAGAGGCGTCTCCTGGAGAGGGGGGCAAGCGGGTCAAGCTGGTTCTAGGCACGTGTCACATTTTCACAAGGAGGCTCCCAAGCACAAATTCAGAGGCTGGGTTTGCATGAAGACACCCACACTCTGTATCTCACAGACAGGGCCGGCTCCAGGCACAAGCCAAGCAAGCTGGTGCTTGGGGTGGCAGCTTGTACGAGGCGGCATTCCGCCCAAACCTGGGCACGGCTGCTTTTTTGTTTTGTTTTTTTGTTGTTCCGCTCTGGCCGCCCTGTAGGGGGCGGCAGCGGAGAGGACGGGAGTGCCCTGCAGCAAGCCCGGCAGGGCAGCCAGTATCCTCTCTCTCTCCCAGCCATCCGGAGCGGCGCAGAGCCCACCCGGCAGGCGTCAGGCAGCGAGGTGGGAGGGACCGCGTGGCCGCGTCCTGCTGAAGCCCTGGCCGCCCCCCTTCTCTCTCTCTCCCCCTGCTATGCCGTTCTGGCCGCCCTGGTTTTTTTGTTTTTGTTTTTTTGCTTGGGGCGGCCAAAAAGCCAAAGCCAGCCCTGCTCACAGGACAGCACAGCTGCATTGCAGGCTGTAAACAACAAAGGTGTACAGAGCTTGGAAGTGCCAACACCACATGAACCCAACAACCAGGGCCCAAGGCCAAAGCCATTCTATGGCACCCAAGGGGTTGCAGGGAGGTCTGTCTGCAGAAAGGTTACCCTAATGATTAGGTTACCCTAAATTGTCACAGTTTGTGGACACATTAAGGAGCCATGAGAACCCTCTCCCAGTCTGAAGGGTGCAAACCCCAAGAGGGCAAGAAATCATTAAAGGCACCAGGGAGCAACTGGAGCCAATGGGATGAATTTAGCAAGGGGGACATTTTCACACTGGTGCTGAGGAGACGATCTCCAGCAACAAGGGAGTCTGAGAATCTGGGATATTGCAACCTCCTGCCCTGCAATCTCTGTTTGGGGATCATTGTGTTAAAATGTATGACTGGCTTCTCTCTGCTTGTGGTCTACTCCATGGGGGAGGGTGACCACAGCTCCTCGGGAACTACACACAGTACAGGTTGATTAAGGTGAGTCACTAAACAACTCCAGAGAGGTACCACCCTGTGACAGCATGTACTCCCGTAGTCACACTCTACAAGTCACCAGGGGTCGGCAACCTTTCAGAAGTGGTGTGCCGAGTCTTCATTTATTCACTCTAATTTAAGGTTTCGTGTGCCAGTAATACATTTTAATGTTTTTAGAAGGTCTCTTTCTATAAGTCTTTAATATACAACTAAACTATTGTTGTATGTAAAGTAAATAAGGTTTTTAAAATGTTTAAGAAGCGTCATTTAAAATTAAATTAAAATGCAGAGCCCCCCCGGACCGGTGGCCAGGACCCAGGCAGTGTGAGTGCCACTGAAAATCAGCTTGCGTGCCACGTGCCATAGGCTTGCCTACCCCTGCTGTACACCCTATTGTAATAATCTTTATAGAAAATACACCTTGTAAGGCATCATTTGAAAACTAATAACTTGCTGGTCAATAATATCATGGTGAAATGGACGTAGCAACATTATAAGTAAAGTTATAAATTCCCCCAAATGATGTTGGCAGATGTTCAAATGCACGGAGCCCCAGTTAGGCAGCATTGGTCAAGCAGGTCTGAAACAAAGGAGTGTTTTCCCCTCAGTTTACATATAAGTTTTAAGACAGTGAGAGGAGGAAGACAGGAGACAAGGAAAATCTGCATTTCAGGAAACAGAGGTGAGAAGAAACAGCACAGAACTTTTCACCACCAGACATGTCGCCTTCTTTACTGTGAATAAACTTTGCTTTGAGGGGTGAGCTTCAGGAAACTACATCTTGAAGGGGGACTGGACTATAAAAGTGAGGGGCAAAAACATCCCACATTCCCTCTTCACTTAAGATTACAAAAGAAAAAGCCATTGGCCTTTGGGAGCAGATCCTGACCTGAGAGTTTGTCAGCAATGTTAATGGGAACCTGTAGTGAGGGACGTCACCTTTAACGAAGTCTAGTTTGTTAAGTTTAGAAAGCGTTTTATTTTTATTGTTCATGCAACCATTCCTGACTTTTATCAGCTGAGAAAGGGTCATGTGGTAGCTTGTAACAGCTGGAACACGCTCGGCATTGCGCTCAGAGCGGAAGCAAGGTGCAAGCACTGGCTTTTAGACAGACTGGCTTGCTGGGGATACGATACTGGCATATAGAAGGGAGCTGTGCAGCTTTAAGTGGCCCAATCAGGGAGTGGGACGGGGATCTCTGCCCAGAGATGGGGTGGCTGGAGTCCTGAGCTAATGGAGGTAGCTAGAGATGCAGTTACCCTGAAACTGTGACAGGCTCCCTGAGAGAAGGGTCACAGGCCCCCGCATTAGGGTAACTGACAGTTAGGACTGGAGAAAGTCCTAGAGGCAGACTAAGAAACAAGTGTGATGCTCTGTACCTCAGGGGTGTGACGGGTTGGATCACAGAAACCACCCTGGGAGCTGTCACCTGATGTGCCAAGACTACTTCTGCCCCTGCTTTCCTGCCCGGCCAGCTTGGGACTTCAGTGCCCTGTCTGGTTTGAGCCCGACTTGCTAGCCTGCTGCAAACCCAGACCCAGGTCTGAACCACATCCCCTAACAGCTGCAGGCTTAATTGAAAGCAGCTTACAGAAGTATTCTTGCCTTTAACACCCAGATACCCAACTCCCAATGGGATCCAAACCCCAAATAAATCCGTTTTGCCCTGTATAAAGCTTCTACAGGGTAAACTCATAAATTATTCGCCCTCTATAACACTGATAGAGAGATATGCACAGCTGTTTGCCTCCCCCCACCCCCCAGATATTAATACATACTCTGGGTTAATTAATAAGTAAAGAGTGATTTTATTAAATACAGAAAGTAGGATTTAAGTGGTTCCAAGTAGTAACAGACAGAACAAAGCAAGTCACCAAGCAAAATAAAATAAAACATGCTAGTCTATGTCTAATCAAACTGAATACAGATAAAATCCTCACCAGTTCCAGAATGCTCCCTTTTACAGACTAATCTCCTTCTAGTCTGGGTCCAGCAATCACTAACACCCCTTGCAGTTACTGTCCTTTGTTCCAGTTTCTTTCAGGTATCCTTGGGGGTGGAGAGACTTTCTCTTTAGCCAGCTGAAGACCAAAATGAAGGGGTCTCCCACGGGCTTAAATAGACTTTCTCTTGTGGATGGAGAGCCCCTCTCCTCTCTCCTATGCAAAGTCCAGCTCCAAGATGGAGTTTTGGAGTCACCTGGGCAAGTCACATGTCCATGCATGGCTGAGTTCCTTACCAGCCAAGCCACATTCCTGGGAAAGCCCAGATGTGGATTGGTGTCTCCAAGTTCATTGTTGGCTTAAGTGTTTCTTGATTGGGCACTTACTGAGAATAGTCTTTGCTCAGGAAGCTGACCAACTGCTTCACTACAGCCTACTTAGAATCAGACAAGTATGCAGCCAGTATTCATAACTTCGAATACAAAAATGATACATGCATACAAATCAGATTAATAGATTCAGTAGGTCATAACCTTTACATAGATATGTTACATGGCATATGCAGCATAAAACATATTCCAGTTATGTCATATACACATGCATAAACATATTTCCATAAAGCCTTATGGGGGGCGCCATCACAAGGGGAACACCCTACACCCCAATGTTCATCTCTATAAAATGATTGTGTGGGATCCAATGCAAAGTTTGGCTACCAAACAACGTTATAAGGGAGCTTTGCGCAACTTTAAATGAGCATGTGCTCTAATTGATCAGC